GAGAGGATTGCCTGAGCCCTCAGCCTGGACAACTTGGTGAGACCTCATCTCTACAATAAATCAAAAAAATTAGCCAGGTATGGTGGCATGTGCCTGTAGTTCCAGCTATTTGGAAGGCTAAGGGGGAAGGATCACCTGAGCCTAGCAAGTCGAGTCTGCGGTGGCTGTGAGCGTGCCACTGCACTCCAGCCTGGGCAACAGAGTGAGCCTCTAACTCAAAAAATATATATTTATTATTATTATTATTTTTTTTTTTTTGAGTTGGAGTTTCACTCGGTCGCCCAGACTGGAGTGCAGTGGCCACTCCCGGCCACCGCAGCCTCGACCTGCTGGGCTCAGGTGATCCTTCCCCCTTAGGCTTCCAAGTAGCTGGAACTACAGGTGCACGCCACCATGCCTGGCTAATTTTTTGATTTATTGTAGAGATGAGGTCTCGCTGCCCAGGCGGGTCTCGAACCCGCGGGCTCAGGCAATCCTCTCACTTCAGCCTCCCAAAGGCGCGGGATTACAGGCTGAGTCACCGAGCCCGGCTTATATTTATTATTATTACCTTGCATTAAAACATCATGGATCCTGATGACTGACTTTTTTTTACCACCTTAACTCTTGTGCCAGTGACAGATGCCTCATGTTCTCATCCTGCTTCTGCCCCTTGGGTCCCCAGGCCTCTGACCAATAGCTCCCCTTCTCTCCCATCCCCTCCACCAGCTACCTCCTTGGCCCTGATGCCCTTTTCTCCCTGTCCCTGTCCATGCAGGGAGCCCCCGGGCTACCGCGTCAGCCCTGCACTTTCCCTCCACGTCCATCATCCAGCAGTCGAGCCCGTACTTCACACACCCAACCATCCGCTACCACCACCACCACGGGCAGGACTCGCTGAAGGAGTTTGTGCAGTTTGTGTGCTCGGATGGCTCGGGCCAGGCCACCGGACAGGTGAGTCCAGAGGGCCCCAGGAGCCCTGCTGCAGTCTCATCTCCACATCTGTCTGTCTGTTTATAGGGAGAGGGCCTGAAAGCCAAGAGCCTGCCTGGGCTGGAGCAGCAGGGAGTCAGTAGTACCAAATGCCTTGATTTTCTGAGTCTGGGGGTGGGGGTCTTTGCATCATGCCAGGGCCATCATGGTCTGGAGAGGTGGGGTTAGGGCCCCTGGCTCTCCTTGCCCTTCCTATGATACTTGTTCCCCCAGCAGGAGTGAACTCATGATCTGTCCATCCCAGGCCTGGGCCCCTACCTCCTAACACCCCTCTTAAACTTCAGGGCTGCAAGTATTTGGTAGATTCTAGACCAGGGTTTTCTAATCTCAGCACTATTGACATTTGGAACTGTTGATTCACTCTTGCATGAGAACATCCTGTGCATCTCAGGGTGTTTAGCAGCATCTCTGGCCTCTTCCCACTAGATGCCAGGAGCACCCCTCTCCCCATTCGTGATAATAAAAAATGTTCCCAGGTTTCAATGTATACAGGAGGCCAAGATTGTCTCCAGTGAGAAGTACCGCATGGAAAGAAGGCCCCGGTCCATAAGAGCTGCCATGGAGACACCTGTTGGCAGAACTTTTAACAGAGTTCCTAGGACGATTCTGGTTCTACAGAAAAGCCCTTCTGCTCCTCAACCCTGGGAGAACAACTGATTCCCCCAAGAGCCCTTCTCCATCACTGACAAACAGAAACTCAGGGCTGCTCAGCAAAGGAATTCTTGGAGGTGGTGGGCCAGAGGTGACCCTTCAGTGGGACAGCAGTCCTTGCTCAAGTCCCTGGGAGACCATTCCAGGTTGGGATACAGTGGTCTTGAGACCCTGGGAAGCTTCCAGAGCCTCAGCAGCATGCTGTGCTATGAGAAGCCCCAGCTCTTCCCCAGCCAGCCCTTCCAGCCTGGAAGCCCGCTGTGAGAAGTCATGTGGGAAGGATACTCAAAGGACTGTGGCTGGGAAAAGCATTCCGGAAGCCCATGTCAGTGGCTGCCTGTGCTTCCCAGCCCAGTGCACTCTGCACAGAGCGGATATTTGCTAAGAACTGGTGTGTTGATCTGGAGCCGGGCTGCAGCTCGACTCCTCACTGTGTGCTTAACGGCCAGCCAGTCCTCTTCCCTCCGTCCTGCTCTCCCTCCCGCGTTCCTCCTCCTCTCCTTTCCCCCTTTGCCCTGTGAGGGTTTCTCTTGCTGACTCTGCAACTCTTTAGCACACTCATAGCTTCACCTACTTCTCTGGACAAGCTCGGTCCACTTTGAGGGTAGTGGAGGAAGAGTAGACCTGACCCTTGACAGCTGCTGTGCTTCCCTTCAGAGATACCAGCAGGGTCCACAGGGTGCCTCCAGCCTATGCTCAGACCCCAAAGGGCCTGGGGTCTGGCATCTGGGGCAGAGAGGTCAGGAACACTGCCTTACCTACCTCCTCAACTACAGAGGGCAGCTGGGGTTTGGAATCAAAATGAGGCTGACCTAGGGACCAGTTTAGTGCAAGGAGCCAAACCTAACCACAGAACCCTTGAGAGAGTATGTCAGTTAGTCTCCTGGCCATCCTGAGGGCTGGATCCTGAGCTTGTCTCTTGATTTGATTGTTCAAGATTAAGGACTCTGACCCAGAGCCATCGTTTTAGAGGGAAAAAAAAAAGACTGATGACTCACTTTGCCCAGAAGGTGCTCTTCTTGAGGCAGGCACTTGCTCTGAGTAGACTGTGGACAAAACTGCAGATAGGACTGCAGACAGGCACCCTGATTAAGTGTGGCCCAGCTGGGAGCAGTCTCTGCATTTCCTCCTTTGGCCTGTCATGCTGAAGAGAGGAAGAGAGAACTCAGCAGAGAGACTGCTTGACTGACACCCACCACCCCAGCTTCTGAGAGGGGCTAGAGACAGCATCATGCTATGGGAGAGGCCAATGGAGAGCTGCAGAGAGAGCCAGGGCCCCCAGGCTCCAAGCTGACCCATGGACAGGAAGTGGTAGTACAGGCTGTGCTTGCTCTACGACCACTGTTAGAGCAGTGGTTCTCAGGCTCAACCTGGAGACCTCACTAACACACAGATGGCTGGACCTTACCCCCAGAACTTCTGATTCAGCAGGTCTGGAGTGAGGCCTGAGTATCTGCATTTTTTCCAAGTTGCTCAGTGATGCTGATGCTATTTCTAACCTTGAGAATTTGAAGTCACAGATCAGATTTGCAGGAAAATACCTGCATAGAAGAATGTTACAGACAATTGTAGAAGGGTTCCCAGGCACCCCTGTGCCCATCCTTGGATGCCAGGGTATGAATCGCCAAGGCCAAGTGAAGACACCACTCGGAGGAGATGCAAAGAACAGAAAGAGGATGCCTGATTAACTGTATTTCAGGGACAGAGAGGAGACTGCCAAGTGAATGCGTTGGAGAAGTTGCAGGGCCCAAAGGGAGAGTGTCACTCTGGGAGGCAGGAAACCTGGTCCTGGCTCAAACTTGATCACCAATGTGTCTTCATCTGTAAGAGGAAAGTAAGGAGCTATATGAGCATTTAGGTTCCTTCTAGCTCCTAACTCATGAGGTTTTAAGGCACTGCAAAGTCACAAGACCTTGAGTTTTAGGGCTTTGTTTTGTTTTGAGACAGGGCTTCACTTTGTGGCCTAGGCTGGAGTGTAGTGGCATGATCACAACTTACTACTGCCTCAAACTTCTGGGCTCAAGTGATCCTCCTACCCCAGCCTCCTGAGTAGTTGGGACTTCAGGCACATGCCACCGTGCTTGGCTAATTTATTTATTTGTAGAGACAGGGTCTCACTATGTTGCCCAGGTTGGTGTCGAACTTCTAGCCTCAAGTGATCCTTCCACCTTGGCTTCACAGAGTCCTGGGATTACAGGTGTGAGCCACTGCACCTGGCCTAAGACCTTGAGATTTTTAAAACTTTGACTTATATCTCAATCAGAGTAGAGACATCCCAGCCCAGCTGGAAGTTACTTGTATAAACTGAACATTGTAAATCAGCATGTTTCAATGTCTAGCCATATTGAACCAGGATTAGCTTTATTGGGTAAGATTAGCAATTTAGATATTCCTAGACAAGATGAGCTCCGAAGACTGGAAGGAGACCCAGGTGGTCCTGTGGCTGCTTGGAAGGCCTCCATGTCCCAGCCCCTAGGAGACTGAGCTCAGGATGCCTGGAGAGGAGGAGGAGTGAGGCTATGATCTGCAAGGACTGTCCCATTTCCTGCCCTGATGGAAGAATGAGATAGGAGCCAGACCATGAAAATGAGGGGAGGCATTGCTTCTTGCATCTTTACATCACCCCTGCATAGCTGGAAACCCTTGTACTCTGGCCTGTGCAGTTACCTAGAACTGAAGGGTCCCTCTCCAAAATGATACCCAGAATAAAAGGTCTCCAGCCCAGGACACAGAATGGGACCAGCAGCTTCTGCTTGCTCTTGTCAGGAGCCTGTGAGAGTTGTCTTGGTCAAGGAAACCTTTAGAGGGACAATGTGTCAGATCTCGGTGCTGGTTATTGGGGTAAAGGAGAGTGGGCGGAAGAGCCAGAGTTCAGAAGAGCATGGCCTGCACAGGTCATCCTGAGGGTCTGTGATCTTAAAGTGAGGCAGAAAGGATGAGTGGATCCCATGTGATCAGAGGTACTTGACTGCCGCATGCTTCTGCCAGCTCATTGGGGAGCCTGGGCAGAGGATCAGGGGGTAGCCTGTTTTGAAGACTCTACTGGAGGTCAAGAATGTCCTGGAAGAAGAGGGCAGAGAAGTATGGATTGTGATTCAGGGGATCTCCCTGGTCCCCATAGAGTGATGGCATTCTCTGAGTGGGCCCTGAAGATGTGGGAAAGGATTTCCCAGACAGAGGGCTCTGCAGCAAGCAAGTGTGCAGTCCTGGCTGCTCAGACTGTGTTCTGGAAACTCCAGTCAGTTTGGAATGGGAAGTGTCTGGGGGGGCAGGAGGGCAGGCAGAGGCATTTCCCATATGGGCCTTGAAGGCTCAGCTGGATAGATTGTACTTTACTTAAGAGGCAGGTGGGGCTGTGGAAGGTTTTGGAGGACGGGAGAAACCTGAACTGACTCAGATGTGGGGAAGAGGGTTGAGGAGTCTGCTTGAAAGAATCTATAGGATCCTTGGAGTCAGATAGACATGGCTGTGAGTTCCAGACCTGGCCAGTTGGAGCTAGGTGACTGGGGATAACCCACTTAAGGATGCAGGGCCTCAATTTCCTCAGTTGTGAAATGGGTAGACAAGAGTTTCCCTCGCAGCGTGTCCTGGCCACAGCACTGTTGATGTTTGGACTGATGATCCTGGAGGCTGTCCTGTGTGCTGCAGGGGGTTGCGCTCCATGCCAGGAACATCTCCCCAGCCCTTCAGTTGTGACAGCCTAAAATGTCTCCAGACCCTTCTTCCAGTGTCTCCTTCAGGGGGAGGGGCAGAATCACCCCTGGGTGAAAACCACTGCCTTCTGGGCAGTTGGAGGGTTAGACACACATAAGTAATAAGTAAGGCACCTGATCCCGGGCTGGGCACCGAGGGTCTGAGCTGATAACCACACTGTTGGCACAGGGGAGAGCTGCCCGCTGCAAGGAGGAGGAGTACATGAGAACCTTTGTAGGCAGGTCTCTAGCCTGATGGCAGAGAGAGGAGCCAGTTGAGGACAGAGAGCTCAGGCTAGGTCTCCCGAGGCCAGGCTGCAGGTGGTCATCTGGGACACTGTCTACAGCAGCAGGAGGCACGTGCCCCAGCCTCCAGGGCACTCTCTCAGGGAAGCTGCCTGCAAGAGGCAAGGGGCCTCCTGCCTCTTCCTTGGATGCCTACGCTCCCTGAAGCCAGAGGCTGACTCCACCAGGGCCTGGAGGAGAAAACTCGAGCTTGAAGCAGATGAGGGCATAAAGGACAAAGAATGAATCCTGGTGGCCAGGCATCCCTGGCATCTGAGGGCTTTGTACAGGGAAGTCCTCTTGAAGAACTTCTCAGGAACTAGACCTGGCAGCGACACATTTTCCTCTCTGACTGTTCTTTAGAGAATAGGCCAGTACCTCACTGTCCACAGGCAGTGAGGACCCAGGCTGCTGGAGCCAAGGGCAAGTTCCCTGACTTCTGGCCACCTCCTGAGGCCATGCCGTGGGGTAGAAGCTGGTGGGCCTGCTGTTCAGTCCTGGGTTGGGTCAGCCAGCCCTAGCCTAAGGGCTTTCAAGGGAGGCACTGCCACATGAGATTTTGGGGGATGGTGACAAGGGGGTGGGGGCACAAGAGGGCTGATCTCTTCTGCTGTAAGTTCTTTAGGAGCGTGAGAGTTCCAGGTGAAACTGCACATATTTGCTAGGTGGCACATTTTTGTACCTGAAACATTTTCCTTAAGAAATAACAAACCACCCGTCGGACATCCCCCTTCCTCCCTCCCACAACTTCAAAAGAGGACCCCCCCCCTAAAAAAAGAGAAACACCTGAGAGACCAAATAGAGGCCTTACACCCTCACCCGTCCTGTGCCCCGGAGGAAAGGACCCAATGCTGCATCTTCCACCGGGAGCGCCCGCTCTCAGGAGCGAGCTGGCGCGGCCGCGCAGGGGAGCGTGTGTCTGTGTGTGATGTGCCTTCATGCGTCACTCTATTTATGTTGTTCGCAGCCCAACGGTAGCGGCCAGGGCAAAGTCCCGGGGTCATTTTTGCTACCGCCGCCGCCTCCAGTGGCCAGACCTGTGCCCCTTCCTATGCCTGATTCCAAATCCACCAGCACTGCCCCAGACGGCGCCGCCTTGACTCCTCCATCACCTTGTAAGTGGACGATGAAACCGAAACCACAACGCCCAGCGTCCCTGGCCCGTCCAAACAGTCTCCACGGCAAAAAGAAAAGCCCCCCCCTTCCCCACCGCCAAAGTTCCCCAACCCAGAGCGCTACGGACAAGAGCAGAGCTGAGCCCCCCAACCACAGCCTCCCTCCCGGGCCTTAGTCGCACCAGCCAGCACCC